CCTTTGTTCTTGCAGATTATTGTGCAACATGAGACTGGATGAACGTTAACAGAACCTGGAATATATTTTAAATGTAAAGCTCAGTCGGCCATACTGATAATTGCATGTTCTATAATTAAAACTCTGTAGGCTTTTCTTTCTAAGTATGGTGACAGCTGTTAGAGCACATCTGGAAAATATGCTTTAAGCAAAGGTATTTTAGCTCAGAGAATTTCACAATACATGGGATATTTACCAGCACTTCTTTCCAGAATATGAATCTGATATATCAGTATTTTTAATATAAAAGTCTTCCTTTTTTAATGATGTTTGCAAAACTGGTTTTGAATTCATATCACAGATTGGGCATTCCAGTTTAGTTCAAGGCTAAATGCTGCAAAACAAAAACATTTCTTTGCTGCTATTTTTAAGTAGAAGTCTATTTAAACCTTGTCTAATGTCCTAATAATATTTTCTTCATTTATTTCAGCCAAGTATTTTGCCCTTCTTTGATTCTAAAGAGAAATACTTGAAAGTCGGTTTTATGGATGGACTCCTCCTGTGCTTCTTGAGGCTCATGTTAACGCCCTTCTGTGCTATCTCCCTCTCCAGAAATAGTTGTATCCCCTGCAATTATCACAGCATTACTCAGAACTTCTTTGAAGTCAGTGAGTGTGTTTACAAGGCAGGATCCTGGCTGCTTCAAAATGAACGGTGATATTTCTGTTTGTGACAGGAGCTGAAGTGCTGTGGTTTCCATGCTTTCTTCGGAACTGTTGTATAGATGTGGCACTACAAAACCAGAATTATTAAAATTATTAGTTAAAATGGAAACAATAATGCAGGAAACAAACACACACACAAATTTAAACCTCTATCCTTTAATTTCTTGATAATTTTACTAATTTTATTCTGAAAAAAAAAAAAAGACTAAAAATAAAGATGTAGAACCCCAGAACCTTTATTAATAAGGTAACACTCTGAGAAGAATCTTATGTTCTGGCCCAAACGTCTCAAAACCAGCCAGCCAACTTGCTTTCAAGATGACTGGGGAGATTTTGTCAGACAGAGGGCCTTTACCAACAGTTCCCTGAGTGAGAAATCAGTTTCCCTTTATTTAGAGTAGGAGGCAACTTTTTTATGCTAGATATTGTGTTGCAACAGTTTTGCTCCTGAATTTTAGAATATAAATGCTATGCTTTTGTGCAGCTGGAGGCAAAATGAAGTTATCCAACCAAGGAAGAAACTACAGCTAAAAAATGAGAGATTTTAAAAAAAAAACATCTACAACAGTCACACCGCAAAATTAAAGAGTAACATGGAACATATTAGTGGTAATGTGGGCAATTAATTCCAAATTACTGACAGTTTAATTTACCTACAAGAAGTATTTTAATGGGCTTAGTATGCTGTGCTGTTCTTCAATTTTTAATGTTTTCCACTGGTCAGAAAACAAGATTTTCCAAATATGGGGTTTAAAGCTGTAAAAAATGGTCACTGTGGATTGCCTGGTGGTCTAACGCCCGTGGTGGACATATGACCGAGTCCCTTTCTCTTCCATCCAACACCTGCGGAGCCCATCCTGTGAGCAGGGCTTGGGTGCCTCTTCTCATGGAATGAATCATAAAATGGATTTGGCTGGAAGGGACCTTAAAGACCACCTAGTTCCAACCCCCCTGCCATGGGCAGGGACACCCTCCACTAGACCAGGTTGCTCAAAGCCTCATCCAGCCTGGCCTTGAACACTTCCAGGGATGGGGCATCCACAGCTTCTCTGGGCAACCTGTTCCAGTGCCTCACCACCCCCTCCGGGAATCACCACCATCTCCAATCTTGTCCTAGTTACAAAGACTCTTTGCAAATTATATTCACAAGTTGATTTGACCCCCAGGCTCCGGCTGCATGAAGAAAAGGTCATTAAAGATCGGCGACACCACCTCAAGACATACCCAAACTGCTTCGTTGCTAAAGAGTTGATTGACTGGATGATTGACCATAAAGAGGCCTCTGACCGAGAGACAGCAATTAAACTGGTGCAGAAATTACTGGATCACAGCATTATCCACCATGGTAAGTGCAATATCAGCTGCTAAAAAGTTCTAAGCTAAATTTTATTCACTGCTGTGAAACTAAGGGAAATCCCACTCCTGCTCTTCGGCCAAGTATAGGTCAGGTAGGCTCCTTTCCCTTCCAGAAGGGGAGCATCTCCCTTGAACTGTGCTGTTCCACAAGGTCCTCTGTATCCCAAGGGACACGGAGAGAGAGGCTGAAGAGGTGTGACGTTTCCCAAGTCAATACAGGGAGATCACTGGAGACCATGCTGCTGCTCCCCTGCTTCCAGAGCAGCCTAAGCTGGATCCTGTCCCCTCCTCTCCCCGCTGCCCTCACCTCCCTGCTCCCCAGAGCACAGTTTTCCAGCTGAAAAACCTATCTGAAAAATCAGCCAGCAAAAAAAGGTCATTTTTCTCACATGGATTAGTTCTCTGGCCCTGTCCCTCACACCAGCTGCACAAACATTAGTGCTGGTACAGCTGCAAGAAAGTTAGTGGTCCGACTGTGCCCTGATTAATTTTTTCCTAAACTTGTTGTCTATTTGAGATCTGTTCCTTTTAGCTTCTTGAATAACAATTTACACTGATTAAAAGGAGACTTCCATTTCAGTGGTAGCATTTAGTTGCCTTTTGGTGCACAAAAAGGCTAGGAAGCACAAAACCAAGGAAGATCCAAGGCCTTGGTTTCAAGCGTCTAATATTACCCATTTCAAAAAGGCAAAATGTACCACTTGTTTCTTTTTTAAGAAGAAACAGAGCAACTGCGAACAGACGAATGTTGACTTTATCCAGGGGTCACTGTATGTGCAGCAGTACTGCTGCTGTCTGCAATACATTAACAACACCTTAATTAAAGGAAGAAATGCACATATTGAATGAGTGCCACTTCTACAGCTTCTGCTTGACTATTAAATTAAAATTCTGGGTTGTTATGGAAACTGGGACTCACGGTAGATAGTTAAAGAATAAAGTAATTATAGGGTATTCAAATCTGACTACTTAATCCTTTGTTGAGAAAATGTCAGTGAAGAGTTGCGTGGATGCCTGAGTGACTTAGTTTAATTGAGCAATAGACATTTTATTGCTGAATGCTTGTTTAAAGCTTTAACAACCTTCAAATGTTTTCTACCTCAGGATCCTCTTGCACACTGTAACTTCCATACAAATTCTACATATATATGTGCAAATATTACACATAGAGCAGGTGTTTCTTAAAAAAGAAAAAAGACCAAAACCAAATGTGTATTTCACTCAAATTTAATAGATTTGTTTGCAAAGTGAGCTAGGGCAAATTCAGAGAGGTTCAATCAGGTTGTGCTGGACACTCAACTCTCATGTCAAGTGAAAGGGGTACCAGCTCCTGCTCCTCTGGTGTAGAAGGTGAGCCCACGGGTGTGGGCCGACAACTCTGGTAGGAGCAGCTTGGCTGGGATATCTTTCCCAGTAGTTTATGCCCTTGCTGGAGCTCTGTTCTGCATTTACAGGAGCCCATTGTCAGCTGCTGTCTTACCAACCTTATTTAGCATTTTGTGTTGTGCTTCTGTTGTACTCATCATTTGGCATGGCAGAGCAATAGAGAAGATTTTAAGAGGGCAGAAGGCTTTCATTTTGACTGTTTCTGCAGGGAGTCTCAAGTTTCCTACAGCACCACTCAACTGATACAAGTAATTAAGAAGTTTGACATTCCTTAATTTATTGGGTGTCCTATGCTGGTGGCCTGTTAAACAAGCTAACAGTCTGCTTTCATCAGAAGGTTTTCCGGCTATATAGCAGGTGGATGCTTTTTTCCTCCTTATGTTTGAAGTAATACTCAGAAAATGGATCAGCACCTATCCCCCTCCCCTAATAATCTGGTTGCCTACCTGAGAGTTTTCTCCAGCCCTTCACCAGTTATTAGGACTGAATAAAGTCATATGCTCTGGCATACAGGGGGTTAGGCTCCAAACCTGCTTGCCTTGAACTTCGGCAGCGACACCTGATAAACAGATCCTCAACTCCTTAACATCCCTACGATTTTTTTTTTCATTTTACCTTTCAGTCTGTGATGAGCATAAGGAATTTAAGGATGTCAAACTCTTCTACCGCTTCAGAAAAGATGACGGGACGTTTCCACTGGACAACGAGGTGAAGGTCTTCATGAGAGGACAAAGACTATATGAAAAGTATGTTCACTCAGTATCCATCATGAGTTGCTAATAGAATCATAGAATCATAGAATGGTTTGGGTTGGAAGGGACCTTAAAGACCATCTAGTTCCAACCCCCCTGCCATGGGCAGGGACACCTTCCACCAGACCAGGTTGCTCAAAGCCCCGTCCAGCCTGGCCTTGAAGACAGCCAGGTAATAGTACCACAGGAGGCAAATGATACTTGTTAATCAATGTTTGTATAGTCAGTGTCTTTCAAATCATGCAGGAATGGGTCTGGGTGATCCTGTGACTTTATTTGTTACCTCTTCTCTCTCTCTTATTTCCCTTTCGCTTTTCTACCGTGTTCACTTGTAGCATTTTGTTTAAAATTAAATTACATTTTCATATGTTCAGTGTTGTAAATACATCCTACATGGGAACCCAATCTAAATTTAAGCCCTTGAACCCTCTTCTGTAAAAATCATTACTAATGGATTATTTGTTATGTAAAATTGTAAATACAAGACCTAAACTTTAGTATGCCAGCATGTACTGAACAAATGGCTACGTAACTGTTGAGATTTGTATCTTCACTAGGAGCGATGCTTTCAAATCATAGGTGAAATTAATATTCAGTGTTCCAATCTGCAAAGCTTCTACATCAGAAATGTTATATTAAATGTGGTTTCAAAAATATCCTAGCCAAGAACATCTAATTAAGATTTGAAACAGATGATTATGCTGAGATACTGAATATCCCACTGGATTACTTCCGTCAAATAGCTAGGCAGCTTAACCATACTTCCCAATCTATAATTAATGACATTTTTATTCAGGATGTAGGGATTGTGATGCGATACTTCCAAGCTGAGTGAATAAACTGCAAGTTGGCATATGCTACAAACCAATGCAAAAGTTGTGATGTGTTCTTTACCAAAAAGCTTGAAGCATTGCTCCTGACTGAATCCCACCCACTCTCCTGCTCCGTTAGAGCAGAATCATGCAGCAGCCGGGAGAGATGCTGTGTCTGTTTCCCTCGCAGAATAACGCACTCAGGAAAATCCCAAGTTTAAAAGCTGATGATAAATATTGTTTTCAAAGTTAGAGGGCTCTGAAGGTCAATTTGGTGAAAGAACAATTAAACTGAAATATAAACCAGTGATTGTAAATGCCTCTCCTTTTGCTGCACCCATCATATAAAATTCCCTGAGACTCAGTGACTGTAAGAAGAAATAAATCAAATAAAACACAAGAAAAAGCACTACTGGAGGAAAATCCTTCATGGGATGCACTGGGACAGGTGAATTGTATCGCCCATCTCCAAAATCTCCTGTGCCTTACTAAGCCCAGCATTTGCTCCTGTAGTCTCTGCAACACGCAGTGCTGCAAGCCTGGCCATACTATGAAAAGCTGACTGGTGTGTCTACAGAAGCAAACCTTTTTCTCTATTGGTTTTCTATTTTTCTATTTCTATTGTTCTGTGAGCTAATAACAGTCCTCTGCATGAAAGGAGTCGTGGTGGGAAGAACTCTGTTCTGCCAGTGTCTGTTTCCATCCCTATTTCTCTGCGTGAAGAACTATCTCCAAATCACCGTCTAAGTGTGCAGTTTGCCCAATAATATACTAGTAGAAACATGCTCATAACAGTACAGATTGCTCCCATCTTGGAAAAGGAGTTAATGCCAAAAGTAGCACCTATATCTAAATATAACTGCATCCTCATGAGGTGGTTGCTCCTAAGCAACGTATCTAAAGGGTTCAGAAACTTTTAAAACCAGCTCTGAGTGCTAAATATAGTATAGATTGAAAATGCATGGCATTTCAAAACCAGTCTGTGACAGGCCAAGCTTGACAAAATTCTCCATGGATCATTGGAAATATTTTACATTAATGAGAGATAAGAACGCATACCTGGGCTATCTGGGCTTCATGTTTTTTATCGTAGCAAATCCAGCAAGCAGAGCACTTGGATTTCGTTAGGTCCTTCGTCCATGCACTCTTATGAGCAACTCCTTCACAGATTCATTGGGTGCATTTTAAACTCACAACCTCATACTGAGAGCCAGACTACTACTGAAAAATTTCTGCAATGAAATGTGTCTATGTGTAATATATCTGTTGTACCAGTTTGCTTATAGTGTTGAGAAAGAAAATAATAATTCAGTGCAATTAAAATTGTTATTAAGTGGCAAAAACTGGAGAAGAGTATTCATGCACAGACATGAAGTCACTTACCAGTATATTCAACTTGTTTATCAAAATGCCTGCAGGCCTAATTTCAAGAGACATGCAATCGTGCCAAAGGAAATCTGTCTGAATCCAACATGTTTTAAAAACCTGTGTCTAATTTTGTAGATGTTGCTGATCTTCACTAGGCTTTGCTAGTTTAAGATAGACATTATTATACTATTTCCTGCTCTTCTCCACCCACTGCATTAGGGGTGGAGTAGCATTAGGTTCAGAAGCCAGCAGAGTTTGTGCTTGCCAGAAACTGCAGATGTGTTATCCAACATCAGTCCACGCAGATGGGTGCCCTCAAAGGGTAAAATGAGCAAAATGCTGGAGGAGGATCAGCAGGTTGTTGGATGGGCAGAGGAATGGAAGTGTTGGGCAGGTTCCCTGCTTTCAGACAGCTGTTTCAGGTAAATGACCTGTGCTCTGCCCTGGGACAGGGGAACATTAGGTCTGTCCCCACGGTGAGGGGCTCCCTTTCCCTGTCTCCTTCTGAGTGAACACAAAGCTTCTTGTACCCTGGATTCACCCCTTTTGGGGCATTACCTCCTTCACTGGCTGTGGACGTCTTTGGTATTCTCCCTTCACTTGCACTGAAAATCAAAAATCAGCTCAGATTCCCTGCACATCATTGCAAACTTTGGTAATCCTTTCTGTGAACATGCTTTGGGTTTCAAATTTATAAGTAAGGATGAAACCTCCTGGTTTTCCTACAGCTTTGTCTGAAAATTATTGAATACTTTATTAGGTCCAAAGATGGTATCAGTTTTCACACTCTGCAGGACTGACCAAAAAGATCAAATGAGATAAACATGTTCCCTTCCTGCAAATCTTAAATAAATCCAGCACAGACCTTTCATAGCTTTAAAAAAGAAAAATCAAGTTGTGCAGGCATCCTATTTTCATGGTGGTTTTAGGGTACAATTGTCAGTAGGTTTTGGTCAAGGAACACAGGATTTTTGTGTTTCTGGTGCAGCTGGGTTTAGGAGCTGCAAGTCGTCTCATGACGTTGACTTCAACTGAGATTTTTCAACCAGATTTCACAGTTAAAGAAGTGCAGATTTATGGTTTTAATTTCAGGAAATCATTCAGATAATTCTGAGACTGCATTCTTTGGATCACTTTCATTTTAATTCATCAGTGGTTAATTCAAATCTATTTTCTGGTGAAGTTGTTTAGATAAAACAAGTTTAAATTTTCCTTTTGAAAAGAGTCTGATGTTCAGTGTTAGTCTGAATACATTCCCTTAATGCTGGATAACACTAGTTTTAGCAAATAATATATTTTGACATGAATGGCCTCATGTTTTTTTGAAACAAGGGGAAAATGGAAGAGAGAGAGGCAGTTTCCGATTCTGGCTAATGAAAGGCCAGGTTTTTGGCTGATGTAAATTGGTACAGCTTTGCTGACAGCAGTGGAGTTACAGTGATTTACTTCAGTTAGCGATGTAACTCTACGGATTGCTGTTTCTGGGTTTGTTAAACTGTCAATTTGTCGTGCTTGTTTGTTCACAAGTCCAAATCCTTTGCAGTGCTATTCTGGGCACACGCAGAAGGGTGTGAGATGTCAAGCTGAGTGTTTTTCCACTTGCTATTTTTCCAAATTTCTTTTGTGTCTTTGTAAAAATCTAACGATTAGCATCTCTTTTTCAAGGACCTCTCTATCTGCAGCTTTAATGAGCTGGTCAAATAATTAAAGACTCATTAAGACAGTCCTTAGGATGTTTTATTTGGTGCCCACAGAGCCTGGGTAACCAATTCTGGGTAACCATGCAGCAGATGGTACAAAAAGACATGAGCTTTGGGTTTGCTTTTTTTCTGGAGGAAAAACGCCTGGTGATCAAGACACATTTTAAAATGCCCTGTTGGAGCTCCGTCTGTATTAGATGTGGTCAGTGTGGGACAAAATGTTGCCTTGCTTGCAGACACTTGTAAATCAAAATATGAAGAAGAATAGTTTTTGCAAGAGTTCTGGAGTCAATACCTTGTCGCCTGCGGCACGTGCTCTTGCTTTTGGCCTCATCCGTGACTTCAGCTCATTTTGATTGTTAGTTTACTCAGCTCAGAGGTGCTGGCAATAATGCACCAACACCTAAACGAGCAGCTTGTTGTATCTGCCACTGACACAGAGCTGTGGCTGGGCAGACTGTGCCTGGTTTGATGATCTGCTGTCTGGCGGTCAGATTCTCTCAGTTCAGGCTTCTGGTGAGCTCTCGTTAAAGTCAAGGGAGTAAATCTTTCAGGTGTAATAGCAGGGGCTGGATCCTGTCAAAGCTCTTCATTGTAATTGCAAATGAAACTACTGTGTTCTTATAGCACAGATTATTCTGATGCCTCCCAAAGGAGATGAGGTTATATTCCATGAACTCTGGACATGCATTTTAGGAAGGAGATGGCCCATTTATGGATTTACATGAAATTCAACTTTTTGATCAGAAGGGCAAAGATTAAGCACTTCTAGAATATTCCTGTTGTAGTTCAGTTTTGCCCTTAATTTCAAAATAGAATCACAGAATGGTTGGGGTTGGAAGGGACCTTAAAGCTCATCTAGTTCCAACCCCCCTGCCATGGGCAGGGACACCTTCCACTAGACCAGGTTGCTCAAAGCCTCATCCAGCCTGGCCTTGAACACTTCCAGGGATGGGGCATCCACAGCTTCTCTGGGCAACCTGTTCCAGTGCCTCACCACCCTCTCCGGGAAGAACTTCTTCCTGATATCTAATCTAAACCTCTCTGCTTTCAATTTAAACCCGTCACCTCTTGTTCTGTCACTACAGGCCCTTGTAAAAGGTTCCCCCAGCCTCCTTGTAGGCCCCTTAGTTGGTGAAGGGAGAGGACTTACTAGTATTACGTTCCTGATATATTTTTCTGAAAGTCTTACCACTAGTACTATTATTAGCCTGTAATAAATAAAATAATTACGGAGAAAAATGAAATAGTGTATATTAGTAAATAAGGAGGCTATGGTGCTCAGTCTCCCAGCAAAACAAAACAAAAAAGAAAGTGGGCTTCTATATTAACAGGGAGCAGTTCTCATTTCTTCTTTCAAACTGTCTTCTCTGCTAAACTGTCAACCTTACTTTCACATTAACAAAATCCCAAGGCTTTTTTTTTTTTCTATTTTAGTACTGTGTCATTTGTGTAGGTTGCTTGAATGGAGATGAATTTTATTAGTATCTTTAAGCTAGGTACATGCCAATTGCTAGGAGATTTAGAGACACCTCGGGATGTTCCTCTGAACTCTGGTGTAACAGGGAGACTGGTGAGGCGCAAGAGACTCTGAGCCCCAGATGTCACAATGTGTTGAGGTGTGTAACTCACTGATTGCAGCAGCATCATGCAGTGTTGGACACTAAATATTTATCAACCACCCAAACCACAGAACTAGGTTTTTTTTCTTCCCCTTGAACTTTTCTGCAGCTGTCTTTATGGGGAGAATTTTCAAAACCATCTAAAGGGCATAGTCCTGCTAACTGTAAAAATTAATTAGGAAATTTTGAACACATTAGGCACAATCTGGTACTTTTAAGCTAACTTTGTTTCAAAGTTGATTATACAGACATATATTATTTTATAGAAGCTGAAGAACTAAATAGGAGAAACGTAAAAATGAAAATGTTTTCTTTTAGGGAAAAAACAAAGAAATCATTAACTTCACACAGGGATATAAAGCCTAAATTTCTTGACTAAGCAGTTATAATTCACATCCTAAGTTTATATTGATAGCTTGAGGAAAGATTTAGTAAGGCAGTGAAAGGTTCACATATCTTTGCTTAATATCAATGAGATTTGCTAGGACAGGTCTGGAGCTGTTTCTCTGAGGAACTGTTTTCCTTATCAATTTTCTCCCCCTATACCAGGCTGATGAGTTCTGAAAACACTCTTCTGCAAGCCAGGGAAGAGGAAGGAGTCAAGTACGAACGGACCTTTGTGGCATCAGAGTTCATCGACTGGCTGATCCAGGAAGGAGAGGCCACGACACGGACTGAAGCAGAGCAGCTCGGCCGCAGACTTTTGGAGCATGGGATTATACAGCATGGTGAGAAATTTATTGCCAGGTAGCAAAAACTGCACTTCTTGTAGGTCTTTCTTCAGGTCATATCATGTGGGGGGGCTCTTATCTTCTTGGTCAAATATGCTGGAGCTCTAAATAATTTCAGAGAGGAGTCTAGGTAACTATTTAATAAAAGGGTGTCTTTTTCAAAAGTTTATTGTCTTAGTTCTGAAAATTCTGCCTCAAATGCAGAATACAGCAAGAATTTGGGATTGCGTAATAACACTGTAAGGATGTGGATGAAAATCAACGCTCCTACACTTGTGGTAATTAACTGGTAGAACTTGTTAGCAGCAATATGTATAATTGAAGTAAACAGCTTTGTAAGGATCAAGTAGGATTAGACCCATAAATAAGCTAAATTCTCTATGTAGTATAAAAATGACAGGTTCTGTATATCTTCCTACTTGAGGACAGGAGCAGAGCACAGTCTGATGCCAGAAAAGCAGCTTTCCCTCTTGGTCATGCTGCAGAGTCGTTCGAGTATGTTTGGGCAAGAAAGGTCCTATCACTTTCAGCTGAAGTGTCGTTGTATTTGTTCTGGTGAGGTAACTTCTTTGAGGCAGGAATGGAATATTTCTTCATGGTCCAGCGCAGTGGGCAGATACCGCTTCACCGAGAAGGTCCCTCTGTTAGGGCTGGAGGAGGCAGAGTTTTCTCTGTACTGCCCCGAGGGTGAAGAAATGAACACCCCTGGCACTTAGACCCATTTTACATGTTGACATCCTCTCCTCTCAGTGGAAGTTGCCCTGCTGTGACCAGGCGTTTTCCACGACGAACGCGTTGCAGTGCCTCTGGGGGTGGTGAAGGGGTGCCAGGAGATGACAGAACAAGCTGGCAGAAGCTGTTTGCTACGTTGCTTAATGCACAACGGGAAAGTAATCAGATCCTGGTGATCCGAATGTTATCACATCAACGCTAATTCTGACAGCGAACAAACAATTCATGATATTAACAGGTTGTTAATATGCAAGGTGCTAGATTGACTAGATTGCTTGTTTGTTTGTAAGAAAACCTAATTGTAACTAATAGAGGAAAATGGGGGGATAAGGGATCTGCATAGTTCCTGCGTGGTTATAATCGTGGTCACATTATCTTTAGCTTCCAATTACTAGGAGCTACTTCTGAATGTTTACAGTAATCAGCTTCCAGTTCTATAATTACCCCTGTGCTTCCTATGATTTATAGGGTGCCAACTGCTTGGAGCTTGATGGACAGGGAAGGTATGCCACAACTCCTCTTTATAGCAGCAATGATTTCATTCCTATTTTTACCCAAGCATTTTCTGTGTGTTATATACGAGGTAAACTTTCCTTAAAAAAAAAAAAAAGAGATAAAAACCCCAAATGAGAAGTGAGATTTATGCTGCTATTAATGTTTTTGCAGGGGAAATAAAGTCAGGACCTGACATTAGGTGCAAAGCTGGATTTACTTTGCTACTGAAATCTTTGCAGAGCTAAGAAATTCAGGATGTGTCTTTTATTGCAGATCAACCATTGTTTCATTAATTAAGGCAAATGCTCAGCAGTGCACCTTGGCAGGGAAATAATTTCTCCCCTCTCAGTCCAGGTTTCTGGGGAATTCCTGAGCAACGCTGGTCCTGTTCACCTTTATGGGTTGCTGTGGCCAGTTTTCCAGATTTATCCCCTACCCATCCTCTTCTAGCAGGCATGAACACACGCAAAGCACCCTGTTAGAAAGAGATTTGAAATCCTGAAGTGACTGCAAATGGGGCGCTGGGATTTGGTTGACTGCTGAGGAGGTGGCCTTCTCACTCCAAGGTACCATCATCTTCCTCACTCAGCTTTTATCAGGGCAAAGATAACTCAGAGGGGATTTCACACTGACTTGATGGGAAGCTGGAAGTACATAAAACTGGGTGATGTCCTTGAGATTTATCTTTACCAGTGGACATGCTTTGTGGATGCTCCTAAGCAGGAGATTCCATTCTCCCCTGGATTTCACTGAAACAATTTGTCTAGATAATGATAGGAATATTGATGAAAGTAGTAGCAGAATTAACACCCAGCTGGCTTGGGGTTCACTTTAGCAAGTGGAAACGATCTGTGCATTTTGAAGGTTTATGTATGCTGACTGCCTCTAAGAAGGGAGCTTGAAATGAGAATTCCTGGTACAAAACTGGGGATATAAACTGTAAAACAGCAGGATCGGTATTCTCTTTTTTTCCCCTCATCTCACTGAATTCTACATCCAATTACAAAAAAAAAAAAAAAGGTATTTTTCTATCTCTTAGTACAGTAAACTCATTTCTCCATTGTATGCTCCCTTTGTTTTGTATCTCAGCAGCAGTACCAAAATGTTACTTGACACTAATTGGCATCCTTGTTGGCAGAACCAGCAGAAAGACTCTTGACTGTGCAGGAGTGGAGAATAAAATATGTTCCTACCCTAAAGACAATCTTCTGCTAGCAGTATTGTTTGATATCCACAATATGGAATAAAATAAAGCTCGCTCTACTATTCTTATGAAGTATTTATTATCTAATGCAGTAGAAAGTAACAGAAATGGTTGCATCAAGTTGCCAGTCTCAGTAATAATCTTCCAGCCGCAACTGAATTGTGCAATTTAGTTTTCCTGATACTGACTTTCGTTTCAATTACTCAGAGAAGCTCTATTCTGCAGCTGAGGTACTGTACTCGCAGAAGCTTCCTGTCACATTTACCTTCACTTTAATTGGTCAGACACAAACCAGGTTTCACACAGGAAACAAACACTGATGACAATTTTAAAAAGGAAAACAGTGGTTTAAGAGGAATTGCATAAAGGCTGTAAAAACAACAAATGTTTCAGTTTAAAAATAATTTTCCATGTCTCTTTGAGCATATATATCTATAGATATTTCCCCTATCATGCATGTAGATGATGAAACGTGATTAAGTGCTGAATTGCTTCCTTCCAAAATCCCACTGGTGCATATGAATTGTAACCCACAAACCACCATTTCACAAACAGGAGCCAGATGTCCTTTCCTGGGAACTGGTACCCCCAGGTAGTATGGAAATAAAAAAGTACAGGTAGCAGGGTATTATGCACTGTCCATTTCTTGAAGGCTTGTGTTGGCAGTGCCATCGCATTCGTTATTCTGCATTTGTGAACACTGATGGTCTTCACCAGAATATAGAAATAAAGGTTGCGTGGAGAATTTTACACATGGTGATGTGCATTCAATCAGGGCATGAACAAAAGGCACACAGAACACATTTCTCAGCTGTAGAAAAGCCCATTTCTAGTATGGTGAGATAGGTACAGCTTTGTAATATTAACAGAGAAGACTTTCCTGCAGGAGACTGGATCTTTCCTAGTTCTTCTTCATATGGAAATGTTGAGACAGATGAGCTGCTGTGGTCAAAACTTACATGCAGCTGGAGAAGAAGAAAGTTCTCTGACAGCTCCAGGGTAGATCAGGCCAAAGTGAGGATGGGCTGAGGACAGGCAGAGGACAGCATGAGCATCCACACATAGTCACAGCCCTTCCTCATCCTGGAAAACAGAGATAGAAAGATGTCCAGGGAGGAAAGAGGGTATCCACAGAGCTCTTTCTGGCACCATTTCTTGGCTCATACTTGGTTATGGCACTTGCTGCAGCACTTACCCTGCACCTGCAGCAGAGCACTACTGCCATTACAGGCTAAGTCCTCCCATCCTCCTCTGAGGACTCATGTATGGAGTCTGGGAAGCTGTATGGAAACATTTGTCTGCCTTGCAGAAAGGTTTAAGGTCTTGTTTAAGCTGATGGAGAGGACTTTAAAGTTTCTGGGGGAGGGGAACCTCAATCCATCCCACTCCTACTAGTTTGATGCTAGTGCCAGCAATAGATGGCACTATAACCCCTAACCCTAACCCAGAACCTGGAGAAGGATCGCAGGTCAGCAGGAGAGCACCTGAGGAGCAGCACGAAGGAATTCCAACCACTCCAGCCAGTAAATTAGCTTCATCCGGAGCCCAGCATAAATGCCTCTATGCAACACATGTAGCATGGGGAACGAAGAAGAGGAGTTAGAGGCATGCACATACCTGCAGGGCTATGATCTCATTGGCATCATGGAGATGTGGTGGGATGGCTCCTATAACTGGAGTGTTAGAATGGAAGGATTCATGCTGTTTAGGAAGGAAAGGCAGGGGAGATGAGGAGGGGCCGTCACCCTCTATGCCAATGCATGGAGCTCCACCTGGGGATGGATGAGGAGCCAGCCAAGAGTTTATGAGTCAGGATGAAAGGGAGGGCAGGAGCAGGTGACATTATAGTGGGGGTTACCTGACCAGGAAGACTGAGGGGATGAGGCCCTCTATAGACAGATAAGGCAGCCTCATGTTCACACACCCTGGTCCTCATAGGGGACTTCAACCACCGCAATATCTGTTGGAGGGACAACACAGCAGGGCATAAGCAATCCAGGAGATTCCTGGAATGCATCCATGATAACTTGCTTCTCTAGGTGATAGAGGACCCAACAAGGAGAGGTACTATGATGGACCTTGTTCTCACTAGCAAGGCGGGGCTGGTTAGGAATGTGAAGCTCAAGTGCAGCCTTGGCTGCAGTTGTAATGAAAAGGTGGAGTTCAAACATGATAACTTCCTTCTCTAGGTGATAGAGGACCCAACAAGGAGAGGTACTATGATGGACCTTGTTCTCACTAGCAAGGCGGGGCTGGTTAGGAATGTGAAGCTCAAGTGCAGCCTTGGCTGCAGTTGTAATGAAAAGGTGGAGTTCAAAATCCTTAGGGCAGGAAGGAGGGCACACAGCAAGTTCTCTGCCCTGCACTTCAGGAGAGCAGACTTTGGCCTCTTCAGGGATCTGCTTGGTACAGTATCATGGGATGAAGCCCTGGATGGGAGAGAGGCCCAAGAAAGCTGGTTAATATTCAAGGATCACCTTCTCCAAGCTCAGGAGCGATGCATCCCACAAAGAGGAAGTCAGACAAAAACACCAGGAGGCCTGCGTAGGTAGAAAGGGAAATGCTG